ACACCCGCCAAAATCACGAAAATCAGAACGGCAAAATCGATACAGGAACGAGCCCGGGGCGGTCCCCCCCCTCCCCCGCTCCCCTGGCGCCCCCCCCTCCCCCGCTCCCGGGGTCAGATAAGACAAGCACACCCATTGTGTGGTGGCCGCCCCTCCCTGCCCCCCCCCCACCCCCGCCACCCTGGGGTCACCATCCTGGGGTCACTACCCTGGGGTCACCACCCTAGGGTCACCACCCTGGGGTCACCACCCTGGGGTCACTACCCGGGGGTCACTACCCTGGGATCACCACCCTGGGGTCACCATCCTGGGGTCACTACCCTGGGGTCACTACCCTGGGGTCACCACCCTGGGGTCACCACCCTGGGGTCACCACCCTGGGGTCACTACCCTGGGATCACCACCCTGGGGTCACCATAACACTCAAGGTCTTCGTTATAAGTCGAGTAATTATGTAATTTCCCAGTGGAATTGTTTACAACTCTGTCATCCTGAAAAGTCTTAATATTTGGGTCGAGCAGCATCTTTGCTTCTTACAAGGTCCGGGTTCGATCCCCGATAGTTCAAGTGGCTGGGTACTGTTCTTTCACCTTGTCCTCGTGTCCCAGCATGGCATTAGTGAAGACGGATTCTGTGCCCGGCACGCGCGCACACACGCACAGCCGGAAAGATAAACGGGTCCCAAGAGCTAAAGCTCGTTCCTGCAGGCACAAATAAATATACACAGGCAGGGTGGTGCCTGTACCCCCCCCCCCGGGGTCACAAGCAATACGGTAAAGTTTGAGTTCTTGTGAGGGCGGAGAGGGCCCCCAGGGAGCCCTCAGGGAGCCCTCAGGGAGCCCTCCGCCCAACACCCATCACCAAACTTGTCCTCAACCACGCCAGCATTTGCCTGTCGCGCCGGCCGGGACCCCCTGGGGCGTCCGGTGGGGTCCACGGGGACCCTGGGGCGTCCGGTGGAGTCCACGGGGACCCTGGGGCGTCCGGTGGGGTCCACGGGGACCCTGGGGCGTCCGGTGGAGTCCACGGGGACCCTGGGGCGTCCGGTGGAGTCCACGCCCCAGGGACTCTGTCCACGGGGGACCCTGGGGCGTCCGGTGGGGTCCACGGGGGTCCGGGAGCAGCCGGTGGGGTCGTGCTGGAGACAGAGCTGTGTGGTGTACAGTTCAGTACAGTGTTATCTGTCTCTGGCATAAACAATGTTGAGGCCTGACAGCTGAGTGGACAGCGCTCGGGATTCGTAGTCCTGAGGTTCTGGGTTCGATTCCCAATGGAGGCGAAAACAAATAGACAGTTTCTTTCACCTGATGCACCTGTTCACTTAGCAGTAAATAGGTGCCTGAGGGTTAAGCCAGCTGCTACGGGCTGCTTCCTGGGGATATGTAACAAAAAGGAGGCCTGGTCGAGAACCGGGCCGCGGAGATGCTATACCCCGAAATCATCTCAAGATATCAAGTACAGCCACAGTCTCAGTGTCGTAATTGTTTATTTGTTGCTTTATTTGTTTTGTTGTGTTTCTCCTAAGATTGGACTTGGGCTGGACGGTAGAGCGAGCGTCATGCAGGTCGGCCACAGACCCTCACAGACCCTTCACACAGACCCTCACAGACCCCCACAGACCCCCACAGACCCCCGCAGACCCCCACAGACCACCACAGACCCCCACAGACCACCACAGACCACCACAGACCCCCACAGACCACCACAGACCCCCACAGACCCCCCACAGACCCCCCACAGACCCCCCACAGACCCACCACAGACCCTCACAGACCCCCACAGACCCCCACAGACCACCACCGACCCTCACTCAAGGCACAACAATGAAAACAAAATTGGTCAAAATTTCAAGGAGACGTGATGGTTAAACTAATGTTTCTGGCCGAGCCTTGACCACACGGCCGAGCCTTGACCACACGGCCGAGCCTTGACCACACGGCCGAGCCTTGACCACACGGCCGAGCCTTGACCACACGGCCGAGCCCCTTGCCCTCATACCCCATCAATGTGCCACATAAGCTTCACTGTGTGAGAAGTTTCTCCTCATAATTCCCTCGTCGTCCAGTTTAACAGTTGGGGAAATTTGTGTCTTCAAACAGTCACTCATGGTGTAACGCGAGGCTGTGGACCGTAGGCCTACCGCTTGGCCCAGGAACGTGTACATTTTTTTTTGTAAAGGTTGGCTGGGGGTCGAACCCTGTACCTCGTCTGTATTCTGTAGCGGAGTTGTACGCTTGCCTAAGTAAACGAGACCATTCACTGGCAGGGATGGGTGCCGCTCCTAGGAGACCGGTCACCCCCTCACTCGCTCCTAGGAGGCCGGTCACCCGTCACCCACTCCTAGGAGGCCGGTCACCCCCCTCCTAGGAGGCCGGTCACCCGTCACCCACTCCTAGGAGATCGGTCACCCCCTCACTCGCTCCTAGGAGGCCGGTCAACCGTCACCCACTCCTAGGAGGCCGGTCACCCCCTCCTAGGAGGCCGGTCACCCGTCACCCACTCCTAGGAGACCGGTCACCCCCTCACTCGCTCCTAGGAAGCTGGACATGTCCCCTCCAACATGCTAGGAAACTGGTCACCGCCCAGCACCACCCTAGACAAATTACAGTCCATTGTTTATGTAAAAGAACACATTAAAAGTTGACCAACAAAATTGATATTCTCTATAATCCTGGTTTGGACCACCCATCTGATGTGTGTTATACAGCCTATAACTGCGTACCTCCTTAAGATATATCCTATATACCCCCCAGGATATATCGTATATACCCCCCCCCAGGATATACTCGACAACACCAAAAAAGTTTTCATCATGGGGCTTTTGAAAGTCTCCCCCCCCCCCTCCCCTCCCCCCCCTCCCCGGCCAGAACCTTATCCTCCTAATAAAAATATTTGACCTTATTGGAATTGGCTTTTACAATTCAATTGAATGCTGGGCCGCCTTGCTGAGGCCATGAAAGGTGCGTGCGTGCGTGTGTGTGTGTGTGTGTGTGTGTGTGTGTGTGTGTGTGTGTGTGTGTGCGTGCGCGTGCGTGCGTGTGCGTATGCGCGTGTGTGTGTGCGCGTGTGTGTGTGCGTGCGTGCGCATGCGTGTGTGCGTGCGTGTGTGTCGTTAAAATATGCCAGAATGGACACGCGTAATTTTCCACCCCAATAACTCTTATTATTGTACCCGAAAGTAAATATTGCCATTGATATGAAAACGCAACTCTCTTGTAAGATGTTAAGTGGAATGAATGGAGAGACCACGGAGACTGACTTGTAATACACCTGCGCATATGTGCCACACTCGGGGCCACACACCTGTCTTTGTACATATGTATAGTGAGCCCTATACCAGGCCTCCACACCTGTGTTGTATATAAAGCAATAAATAGATAATAAGTGTTACTCTGAGCACACAGTGGTCAGCCACTGTGTGCTCTGGTGTAGTTAAACAGAGTAATCATTTCTAAATATATATATATATATATATATATATACATAAATATACATATGTATGATTATAGTAATGCATTCTATTTTTAGTTTATGGTGAAGAAGCTGTCAAGGGCGCCTACACAGGTCCTCAGTTAATTATTGTACTTTTATACTGTTATTCTCCATCCTTAAAAGAATCCCAAAGGTACAAAATGCTATATATGTATATCCATGCACATATGTATACCTATACATATGTATATCTTAGCTTTAGTTGCTTGTTATTTGGGAGAATTGTAACAGGTTTATGTATTATTGCTCTTGTATTATTAATACATACTTTAATTGCTATTATTTTTGTAATAAGTATTGCGCATTTTCTCTCACTGCAAAACAAATATGAGCTTATGTGCTGACAGTGGTGTGTGTGTGTGTGTGTGTGTGTGTGTGTGTGTGTGTGTGTGTGTGTGTGTGTGTGTGTGTGTGTGTGTGTGTGTGTGTGTGTGTGTTTCCAGCCACAAGTTTTGTCAGTCCCCAAAAATCGTTTTGGAGTGCATGAGCTGCTGAATTTAGGCCATTAGGCCTATGGGACCTCTTGAGTTCGGCGTTAGGGTAACAGAGCCGTTTATTGTGACTGGTTCACTCCCGCGCCCAGCCCTCCTTCGTCTCAACCTTATCATTGTGTCAGCAATCTCAAAAGACAATCTGGTGTGTGTTGGCCGCTCTTGTGGTCTCTGTACTACTATAGGTTTACACCCCCTTTGTTACTTTGCCATCATGTTCTTGTGTGGTGTATATACACATACATGCACTCACGCAAATATACTGTTATGAATTGTTTTATATATCATGTTTAATTGTGTGTATTATGTAATGTGTAAATTAAAATCAGCTGGGTATAGGAATGATGATACCACCGCTCTCCTCCCTGTGGGCCACACCTGTGGACCACACCTGCGGGCCACACCTGCAGTAGGGTGCAAGAGGGGAATGCAGGGGGGTGTGGAGGTGTGGTGTCCTCACACCTACACATCTGGCCCGCCAATGTTTACATTAGAGGAGTCAAAATCACCCCTAGTACCCGCACGGGCAAGCGTGCTATAGCTGCCCCTATTTTTTGATCATGTTTTTGAATATAAATATAAAATGGTGATGTTGACGGCGGGTTGAACGATGGAAGATGTGGTTGAGTGGTTGAGTATTGTTAAGGTGGCCAGCTTGAGGCTCGTTACTCTCATCCTGCGGCTGGCCACAGCTGGGTTTAGTGATTTGTGTTTATATAGCTGTTATTACTATGCTCTATGGCTCTTAGACCAGACACTATGGCTCCTGGTTGTACCTTGAGTGGCTCTTAGGTGTACCTTGAGTGGCTCTTGGTTTGACCAGACACTATGACTCCTGGTTGTACCTTGAGTGGCTCTTGGTTAGACCAGACACTATGGCTCCTGGTTGTACCTTGAGTGGCTCTTGGTTAGACCAGACACTATGGCTCCTGGTTGTACCTTGAGTGGCTCTTGGTTTGACCAGACACTATGGCTCCTGGTTAGACCTTGAGACACTATTGCTCTTGATTAGACCTGAGACACTCTTGGTTAGACCTTGAGACAGTATTCCATCCTTATTCGCTAAGAACAGGTTACGAAGTGTACAGCTATTCTCAAATGAGAAGTTATTTTGCTAGCAGATATTCTGAATATGTGGTGACATAGCGTGTCTGAAGTGACATGCCATCATTCCTTCCCTCCCTCCACCCCTCCTTCTCCCTCACTCCTCCCTCACTCCTCCCTCCCATTCCGACAAGCGACGACCGTTCACACACATGACTTATCACATCTGAGACGTATAGATGTCATATATTTAGACAGCATTTTCTCCCTTACCTGATTATTCCATGTTCCTGAACAACGGAATGTGACATTCCACGTTCCTGAACAACGGAATGTGACATTCCACGTTCCTGAACAACGGACTGTGACATTCCACGTTCCTGAACAACGGAATGTGACATTCCACGTTCCTGAACAACGGAATGTGACATTCCACGTTCCTGAACAACGGACTGTGACATTCCACGTTGCTGAACAACGGAATGTGACATTCCACGTTCCTGAACAACGGACTGTGACATTCCACGTTCCTGAACATTCCGTAGAGTCATCAGCTTGTGGTCTCTCACGGAGAAGTGTTCTACAGCTCCGACTTCATAAAGGGTTCGAATCCCCCCCCCCTTATAAGTTTCTAATGACTATCAGTACAATTGGGCGAGATGTAAATAGTATTTTGTACAAATGTTATCAGGCTGGAAAGAACAAATTTGTTCTTTCTAGAAGGCTTTTGTAAGTTGACCGCCCGAGGCGGCGCTGGTCTGGTAGTGGTGATGATGGTGGCAGAGATGGTGATGATGTTGAGATGATGAGTTAGTGTGTTCAGAGCTCCTGACACCTGTTGGCAGGTGTTCACTGGGTGTATTGACTGTCATGACAGGTGTTCAATGGTGTGTCATGACAGGTGTTCACTGGGTGTAGTGACTGTCATGACAGGTGTTCAATGGTGTGTCATGACAGGTGTTCACTGGGTGTAGTGACTGTCATGACAGGTGTTCACTGGGTGTTGTGACTGTCATGACAGGTGTTCACTGGGTGTAGTGACTGTCATGACAGGTGTTCACTGGGTGTTGTGACTGTCATGACAGTCACCTCCCAACATAACTGTTAATAAAGGTATACAGATGGTAAATATATTAAGTTTTATTGTCCTGTTCCACTTAACCATCCTCTCTATATTACCTGTTCTTGTTCTCACTGTTCTTGTTCTCTCCGCGGCCGGGGGAACAATGTTACGAAAAAGAACAAATGTAAATAAACCATATGAACAAAAACATTAAAAATGACAAAACGAGGAAATAAAATGTTATCTTTGAAGAGAATTGCAGCTTGCAGGCAAAAACAAGCTGATTGAACACAAGGATTACAGCTGGTGAACAGAGCACAGCCTCAGTGTTTCCAAGTGTAAACAAAGCTTTGGGAGAAAATTGCAAAAAATCTATTTTGAAGAGTTACCAGCTTGTTAAGACTCGCAGGTTGTTCTGAAACACAACTTGTTATAATTGGTTATAATTATAATTTATAATATTGGTTATAATTATAATTTATAATATTGGTTATAATTATAATTTATAATATTGGTTATAATTATAATAATAATTGGTTATAATTACTCCAACTTTATAATGATTGAGAATAAACACCGATTTATTTATTGCCATAAAACCTTGTAATAACACATTCTAGCTTGTTAACCAGTTATTCTCTATAATCACTAACAGGATAATTGAACCTTAAAATATGTAATCAAATGTATTTATAAAAACTGCTGATATAATAGATTAGTTTGTTATTAAGTCAGGTCGATGAGATCGGGCCACGGGGACATGGATCCTCGGAACCACCTCCAGGTACGGTAACATACTTAAAATCAAAATGGTTGTCTTAGAATTTTTTAAGTACATAATTATGTCTTCATTGAGACTTCACGTTTTCAGATCATACTCTTATCTTGCAATAAATGCAATTACACCAAACTTAATATGTCTTGAGATGAGTGGAATCTTAACCTTTTACATACTCACCTGGGGACTGTTGGCCTCGCTGTTCTCAATATTTAGGCAAGACATCTTTACAGTGTCCAAAAAACAAAAGACTTCATCAAATTTTTGCATAATTTCTACAAAGCAGATCACCAGAGAAATTCAGACAAGCAACATTGAAATTATCGACATAGTGAAGCAATAAGAGATATGACCTAGCAGAAGTACTTCACATTAAACACATCCAATTATCAACTTTTGGTCCTATCCTCAAAGTAATGTAATCACCTCTCAACACTCCAGCATGAACTATATATTGCTGGTATATATTTACTCACCCTGTGCCCCTTAAGATGCTAAGTTAAACAGCAAAACTGGTCTTGTCCTTCATAGGTGTAAGATGAACTTCGAAGACTTTGTCAAGTTCCTTCCCAGGTGGAGAGGAAGATGAGAAACAGAAAATTCGTGCCAGAATTATTGACCAAAGTCTTGTAGACACTTTACATGCGACTTAATGTACGATTGTGTCAAATGATAATAAACAAAGCATATATAAAAAGTGTAAAATCTAATGTTAAATCTGTCAAAAGTCCTTCACTTTCCCTCTCGGTGCAAGTTAAGTGGATGAGTCAGGAGTGATAGCCAATATCTCTGGCGATATGGTATACTTTCTCCTGGAGCACCAGACTGTTCAAGTGTATACACGTGTAGCACACTCAACCATGGCACCACCAACCATGGCACCACCAACCATGGCACCACCAACCACACTCAGGCCAAGCAAACTAGAGCACCTTAAAATGATTTATAGTATTTTCCATATTCCATAATATGAATACCTGAATATATTAAAACTTGCATATTGCATGCATGTTTGTGAACAAAATTACCTTGGCTTCAATGATTGATGTTGAGGCCAAGATATTAGCATGATGGTGGGTAGTTAGGGTAGGGGTGGTTAAGAAGGCTGTTCGACAAGACGAGGAAGTAGGACAAGTATACTAGGGAGAAATATGAGGGTACATTAGCAAGACGGAACAGGTTGTGCAGCAGGCGACGGCTGTGAGCCAGGAAGCTCCTAAGGAGGATTGATGCTTCAACTTTGAAATCAAATACAGAATGTACAGGTGGTTGAGGTGAGGTTCCTCACAGTTAAGAGGTACACATGCGGAGGGAAGGTCCCATCAAGAGAGGGAAATAAAGGATTTATGTATCACATTACTTCGACTAGCAAATCACTCTAACTCTGATGTAGGTCCAGAGGTGGAGTACTGCGTCAGTACTCAATGTTGATGAGTACTGACGCTGTGCTCGCCAGAGATCACTTAGTACTAAGGAAACACAGATAACAGAGATACGAAGTGGTGTTAGGTGAGCACTACGAGGTGACCAGAGTCCCCAAGCTGTCTCGTCTTCGACTACTTCTCTTATTCTGGCAACGTGTGTGTGTGTGTGTGTGTGTGTGTGTGTGTGTGTGTGTGTGTGTGTGTGTGTGTGTGTGTGTGTGTGTGTGTGTGCATGTGTGTGTGCGCAGTAGACACGAAGGGCCACATAACTGCTTACTCTGGTCGCGACGGTGGTACTGATAGTGGACCAGACTGCCTTACAAAGGTCATCCTGCACCTGACCCGCCCACTTCTTGTCACCTGG